GAGCTCAAGAGGAGACTCCAAAGACTCTTTCCTTACGTTGTATATAGGCCACCCTTCCTAGGGCGGGTGTAGCACTCATACCCATGATCCCAGCTCTAGACAATGAATCAATCACAAATTCTAGTCTCAGCAGCCTCTGAAAAGCCCACCCCATATGACCGCATGAGGCTTTGAGGGGACATCCAGATACAAACTGTAACATTCTGCCCCTGGCCCCCTAAAGACTCATATACCTTCCTTTATGCAAAAGGCATTTAGTCCATCTCTCAAGAGTTGCCAGAGTCCTAACCATTTCAGCATTGCTGAAAAGTCCAAGTCCCAAGTCTCCTCCGAGGTGTAAGGCAAACTCTTAGCTGTGAGCTCCTATACAAATGAAAAGAAAGTTAAACACATCCAACATTCAGTTGCACAAGGTAGACATTTACATTCCCAAAGTTACACATGGGGATACAAAGGAATGGCACCAAAGCAAGTCCAACATCCAGCAGGGCAAACATTAAGTCCTGTAGTTCCATGTGGAACATTCAAAGCAATCTGTGGCAAGATGTGAGCACCGAAGGGTTTGCGTGAGTCAACCGCAGCACTTCAGGTTGGTATAGCTCCCATGGCTTTTCTCTTAGGCTTGCTCCCTCCTGGCAGGTTTCCTCAGACAATACAAGTTTCTGGCTTCACCAAACTTCTGGGGTCTTCACTGCACCTTTGGCTTCTCATTCACAGCTTCACACACTGCTCTTTCTGGGGCACAGTTCCTGGCCTCCCAGGCCTTCTGAAATCTGGGTGGAAGGCCTCTTAACCCCATAATTCTTGCGTCCTCATGCATCTAAAACCAGTACCACGTGCGTGATGTCTGTTGCCAGCCAGAGTAGTAGCCAGGCTTCCTGTTCGCTTGGCTTTTAGGGTTTGAGTGCCTGGATTGCTGAGCAATCTGATCCTGATTCTGAGGAATAAAATCTCTATGCTACCACCACCATTCTGGTTTTTTTTTTTTTTTTTTTTTTGGTACTGGGAATCGAACTTGTGATCTTGTGCTTGAGCCACTGAGCTATATCCCCAGCCCCGCTGCCACCATTCTGGAACCTGGTGTAACTTCTGCCATCTGGAACATGGTGCTCTGTGGCTTCCTCCTCAAAGCAAAGTCTTTTACTTTTGCAGTTTTGAGGCTGCAAAGGATGGAGACTTGCTGCTGCTGCTTCTTTTTTTTGTACCGGGAATTGAACTCAGGACCTAGTGCTTGCCAGGCAGGTACTGTGCCACTGAGTTATATCCCCAGCCGACTTCCTGCTTCTTTTGATGCCCTCAGGCCATCTTTTACATCCTTTTCAGCGATGGAGATCTCCTCAGCTCTGTCTTTGCAGTCCAAAGCTTTACTGGAGATTTTTTTTTCTGGCCAAACTCACAATGTTTTAAATCATCCT